AAAAAAAAAAAAATAAGTTAACATATTTGACTAAAAATGTGTTTGGTTGACTGTGTTTATAAAACTCTTTAGGATCCAACCATCCATTGATTCTTTCTTTTTCACATGAGTCTGCAGTTAGTTTAGGGCTTCTCCAAGTCCACTGTCCTCTCTTTCCTTCCCCAGGACATCCTTGGCTGTGTCTGTGTGAATCCTGGGCGCCTCACGAAAGGGCAGGTGGGTGGCACCTTCAGCCGACTCTACCTCAGGAGCCCTACCGTGGACGAGGCAGGGAGGCGCAGTCCGTGTGTTGCCGCCCAGGTGGTCAGGATCTGAGGCTTCTGTCCTCTGCCATCCCCCACTAGGCAGGCAGCTGAGAGCAGAGACAGAGAACTTCTGATAAGATCAAACTGTTAGGTGGTAGAGAAAGCCAGCTGGTGAGGAACAGGCTGTGGGGACAGGACTTCGCTGTGAACACGTGTATGGTGGAGCCCTGAGAGTTGAGCTTCTGAAAACATAGCTCGTGTCTGGAAGTGAGTCGGCTGTGGATACTGCATACTCAGACAAGAGGCTTTGTGATTTTCTACATGAATCAAACCCAGAAACAACTTTTGGAGAAATAAAAATAAATTCAGAGTGTAACTTGAACCTAATCTTTCTTCTACTTTCATTTTCTTTTGTCCTAGTAGTGGACAAAGTATGTCTCCTACTTGCCCTTTGCAGAGAAGGCAGTGTTGGTCACACTGGGTTTCTGTCCAGCCCCTCAGACCTCTCCCTGCCCCACCCCTTCATCCTTCCTCATCCTCACAAGGCTCGTACAGCCTCTCTGTGGGGATGTGCACTGGGCTCAGCCCTGGATCTGGCTGCAGAGTGAGAAGCTGGCTGTGTGCCTGGCCCTCCCCACCCAGCCCCTCATGTGTGCTGTGGTCCCAGCCTGACCTTCCCATCTGGAAGAGGCAGCCTCACTGAGCTATTCCAGTGCTGGAGAGCTGGGGCTTACCTAAAGCCCAGAACTCATGGATAAGGCCAGGCCATCCAGGGTTTCCAGTGTATTCTCAAGCCTGTGCATCCCAGTATCTGGGGAAAGGTCGCTGGCCAAATGTGGATGGGTTTCTGCCCTAAGCTGGCAGTTGGCTGCCTCACATGCCAGACAGAGCCAAGTCTGGAAAACCCCAGCCATTAGGGCAATGGCAGTGTGTGAGAGAGCAGTGAGCTGCTGTTGCCTGTGCCTTGACTTATAGATAAATAGGTAACCTAACAGCGTCATCTTTGCCACCCCACTGCCTCTTTGGGTGAAATGGAATCAGACTCCAGCTCTGACCAGGGCTGGTGAGATGACTCCAAACACAGCCACTGCTATCTCATTTCAATAGTTTTATAGGCGCCTCCTCTAAGGACAAGAATTAGAGACAAGCCCTGACTCGGAGAGTACGTTTTCCCTCCTTCCCTAGCTCCTCCCCATGTGAAGCATCCAGCCGAGTCCCACGGGGGCAATGTGACTTGCCAGCCTCCAGATGTGGCATTTTTGGAGCCAGGCCCCTCCTACAACCTACTGCAACCTGATACCCAGCTCAAGAATATCATTTGTGTTTCTACCAAGCCAAGTATCAGCTAGAAAGCCACCCCTCCCAGCCTTAGAAAACCCATACCCAGGAAGATTAGGCTGCAGGCCTCCCTCCAGGATAAACAAGGGCTCCTAGCACAGAGCCTGCAGGCCTTATCTTGCAAGCCGGGTATGTGGCTCTTCAGGGGCCATACATGGCAATTAGTGACATGTGGCTGTTGAAGAAGCTTTGTGGGGAATGGTTAAGGTTTTTGCCCTACTGCAAGGTACGAAACCCCTCCCCCTCCTTTTTTACCAGGAAGATCCAGAGGCCTGGGTGGTGTATGGGGAGGTTGGCTCAGCGGGAAATATGTACAGGGCAGGTGCCAGAAGGCAGCGGAAAGAAAGCAGGCTAGATGGAGCTCCCTGTCCCTCGGCATGAATGGGAAGGAGCCTGGTTGCCTGGATACGAGTCATGTGATTGTTGGAAATGATCCTGAGGGCCATCAGGCATTTAAGATTCAAACAAAAAGAAAGCAGGATGCAAACCCCAGAGAGCAGACAGGTCTGGGGCAGGCATGCCTTTGCCTTTCTGCTACCAGATGTTCCTTTTTGCTCTTGTCAGGAAGTTAATGCCAAGTCCCTAGGCCCCACTTCAACTATGTCACCAGTTTCCTGAACTGTCTGTCATCCCCAGAACTCTTGCTCCCACCAGCTTTGGGACACAGTCTTTGAAGGAAGCTGTGGAAGGGAGGTGTTGGTGGGGGAGGGTGCCGAGTAGGCCAGGCCAATGGCTCCCCCTGCCCTCATCATGACTCCACCCTTAAGACATGAGTCCAAAAGTGAAGTCTGGCTCTGTGCCTGTGGCTCAAGCGGCTAAGGCGCCAGCCACATACACCTGGCGGGTTCGAATCCAGCCCGGGCCCGCCAAACAACAATGATGGCTACAACCAAAAAATAAAAAAAGTGAAGTCTCAAGTTCCTGCCCAGGGGCTACCTACCATCGCTGATGCCCAGGGTTGCCCTAGCCTCTGCCCTCGCAGGGCAGCACCTCTTTCTCAACTTTGTGCTGCCCTCCCTTAACCCCTGGCATGGCTGCCCTTTAGGATTTGAGTCTTCCTATCTGCAAGGGTCAGGGCCAGCTGCCAAGGGAAACAGAAAGCTCCTGTGCGTGGGAACCCAAGTGGATGCCAAAAACAAAGCTGGGGAACTAGGGCCATGAGGGGCATCCAGGGGCAGGACCTCTCTACCCAGACTTGCCTTCTGCACCCACTCTGGACCTGGTGTTTCCTTTCCCTTGACCCAGGGTCACCCAGCCCAGCTCAGCCCAGCCCTGCCACTTCCCCCAGTGCTGGGAGTAGCCATTTTGGCTGTTTCTCACTGCCTGTCTAGTACACGTTTCCCTTCCTCTGACCCAGGCCTCTTGGCCAAGCCACCTGAGAGTCATCTTGCTAACACACACATACACACCCTCTACCTCCAGGCTGTGAGCTTTCTAACTGCAAGAAAGGCCTGGACTGCCGGGGGGTGGTGGGGTGGTGGTAGGTTTTTTCTAACATTTAGAAAGTGGTTAGTGAGGGCCGGGCCTAACAGGCATAATGGCTCAAGCCTGTAATCCCAGCACTTTGAGAGGCTGAGACAGGAGTATCACTTGAGCCCAAGAGTTTGAGGTTGCAATGAGATATGACAACACTGCACTCCAGCCTGGGCAACAGAACAAGACCCTGTCTCAAAAAAAGAAAGAGGAGGCTCAGTGCCTGTAGCTCAGCAGCTAGAGCACCAGCCACACACATCGGAGCCAGTGGTAGGTTCGAATATAGCCCAGGCCTGCCAAACAATGACAACTACAACCAAAAAATAGCGAGGCACTATGGCAGGTGCCTGTAGTCCCAGCTACTTGGGAGGCTGAGACAAGAGAATTGCTTGAACCCAAGAGTTTGAGGTTGCTATCAACTATGTTGCTACAGCACTCTACTGAGAGCACAAAGTGGGACTCTGTCTCAAAAAATAAATAAATAAAATTAAAAATGTACATGCTAATTCAGTGATTATACTATTAATATATTCACAATGTTGTGTAAACCTTACCACTATCTAATTCCAGAGTGTTTTCATCACAACAAAATTAGCAGTCATTTATCATTTCTTCCCATTCCCATCCCCCAGCAACCACTAATCTACTTTCTTCTCTATAGACTTGCCTGTACTGGGCATTTCATACAAATGGAATCATAACCTGTGGTCTTTTCCATCTGGTTCTTTTACTCAGCTAAACATTTTCAAGAGTCGTCCATGCAGTAGCATGCATCAGCACACCATTCCTTTTTATGACTGAATTAAGATTCCATTGTATGGCTCGGCGCCTATAGCTCAACCGGCTAAGGCGCCAGCCACGTACACCTAAGGTGGCGGGTTCGAATCCCCAGCCCGGACCTGCCAAACAACAACGGCTGCAACCAAAAAATGGCCGGGCGTTGTGGCGGGCGCCTGTGGTCCCTGCTACTTGGGAGGCGGAGGCAGGAGACTCGCTTGAGCCCAGGAGTTGGAGGTTGCTGTGAGCTGTGATGCCACGGCACTCTACCCAGGGGGACAGCTTGAGGCTCTGTCTCAAAAAAAAAAAAAAGATTCCATTGTATGGGCTCAGCACTCATAGCAGTGGTTATAGCACAACCCACATATACCAAAGGTGGCGGATTCAAATCCAGTCCGGGCCAGCTAAAAATAACCAATGACAACTGCAACAAAAAATTGATGGGCATTGGCTCCGTGCCTGTAGCTCAGTGGCTAGGGTGCCAGCCACATACACTGGAATGGCAGGTTCAAATCCAGCCTGGGCCTGCCAAACTACAATGACAACTACAACCAAAAATAGCTGGACATTGTGGCAGGCACCTGTAGTCCCAGCTACTTGGGAGGTAAAGCAAGAGAATCACTTAAGCCCAAGAGTTGGAGGTTGCTGTGAGCTGTGATGCCACAGCACTATACCCTGAGTGACACAGTGAGACTCTGTCTCAAAAAGACAAAAAAAAGATTTAATTGTATGGCCACACCATATTTTGTTTATCCATTTATTCATTTGTTGACTATCGTGAATAGTAGACACCGGCATATACATTCTTGTGTGAACACTTGTTTTCAATTCTCTTAAGTATATACCTAGGAATGGGGGGCCTTTAGGAAGAGAAAGCAAGGGAAGGGAGAGAAGAGGGAAGGAGGAAGGGAAGAAGTGATGAGCCTGGAACAGTGCATGAGAGCCAGATTATAGAGCCTAGAATGCCTCGAAAAGGAGTTTTGTACTATACTCCCCAGGGAATCTTTGAAGGCTTCAGAGTAGAGGAGGGGCAATACTCAGCCTATGTCTTAGGAAGGGAACTGGCAGTGCTGTGAAGAACAAAGTGAAGCTGTGGGAGGCTGAAGACCAGGGACACTTTAGAAGCTGTCAGAGGACAAAGCCATCCAGAAACAGAACCCCAGTTTCTCTGTAATGGAACAACCTCTGCTCCACACGCTCATGCTTATGCCAAACAGCACATTGCATGTCCTGGCTTCAGTGATTGGTCAGGACTGTGACCTAAGACAGTCCAAACACAGTGACTCCAGGCTTCTGCTGGAGTTGGTGGAAAAGGAACAGCTGCGAGAGTGGAGCTGCTACAGCTATTTTGTCACCATGAAGGAAATCCGTCCTGAGTGTGCACTAAACCAGAGCAGGAGATCAAGAGAGAGTAGTCAGAACCAAGCCCCAGTGTCTGAACTCCAGGGAAGTGAACATTGTCCATCCCTGTCTTAGCCTACTTGGGTTGCCATAAAGGAATAGGTGAAGCTGGGTAACTTGTAAAGAAAAGAGGTTTATCTGGCTCATCGCTCTGTAAGCTGCATCGTTCTGCTGCCTCTGGTTCTGGTGGGGACCTCAGGCTGCTTCTACTCATGTAACAAAAGGTGGGGGGTTAGATTGTGTAGAGATCACATGGTGGTAGAGGAAGCAAGGGACAGGGGAGGTGCCAGGCCACTTTTAACAACCAGCTCTCCAGGGTACTAATAAAGTGAGAATCCACTCACCCTGATCCCACCCCAAGCATTAATGTCCTTATGAAAGATCCATCCCCATGACCC